TTGTAGAAACAGTTCATTTGAGTTGAATATGTTTTCTGTAAAAAAATTCGTGTATTTTAATTTGTTAAATGAATGATTAATTGTTCATGTCCTGCTGATGTGCAAGTATATATGTTAAATGAATTAATTTTGGCTGATTCCATTTTCCAATTATAAGTGTTATTTGAAATATTTCTTATCAGTCCTAATATGACAATTCCTTAAATTTGGGTCAAGTAAACCATTCATTTTATCATCACATGCATTTCGGTTTCTACTGAACAATCAGTAATAAATTGATCATAACTTGCTTAATAAAAATCCAATTGATGGGAGGATTAAATCTTTAGAAACTAAACAGACAATGCTTTAATTTGATATATTATACACTTAATTTGGATAACTTGATGAGTGGTGAAAGGATATGTATATTCCGTGATTTTATAGGTAGATCATAGGGAATTCGTGACTTTTATGGATTATTTTTATTCAAGTTCTTTGCATATTTTTATTTGCAAGAATCACGGGTATGTGTATAAGTTTCAGGTATTCAGACAGAAAAAGTGAGGAATTTATGCTCACACGATGGTTGGAGGCTTTGTACGCGCTAAAGAAAAAAAAATGGATTGTCAAACAGAAGAAAGGAAGTGAATTTGCTGGATGGCGCCGCGGTATAGACTTTTCGCACCGCGGCATGAGAAGCTGAAGTTGGGTAGAAAGTTCATGCCACGGCGTGAAGAAAGTGGCGCTGCGCCGTGACAAGGTCGTATGTTTGTGGAAAAATTGTGCGCCGCGGCATGGATCGCGAGAAAATAATTTTTTTTTTTTTTTTTAACTCTGGCTTGAACTTGGACTCTTCCAAAAACACCCATAGCAGAGGAAAAGTATAAATAAGACTTTGTAATTTAGTTTAGAGTGGGCTGGAGATTGAGAGGAGAGTTATTTTCTTAGCAAAAAGAGAGGAGATTTTTCCTAGGGTTTTGAAGATCATTCATGCTTTAAGGATCATTGCAACACAAATACACCATATCCACACCCTTACTGTCTCAGTCTGCAACTCAGCTCCCACTAGCTCAATCAAAATATTTCAGTCAAGAATGTTCTTCCAAGTTAACTAGCCACCATATACCAAGCACACAAACATATGTGGGTAAATGATCTTTTAAAATTACAATTTTTAAATAGTTTCAGAGATCCTTTCTGAAAATTTACATAATACAGTGCCCAATGTTTAAAGATGAGGAATATTACATTTTACTAAAAATTATTGCGCCTAGTAATAATCATGTTGAAACAATCGAAAAATCATCGGTAAGAAACTTATCACATAATTATAGCTTCAGGATTTACATTTTTAGCAGATTATTTGGTTCAACATCTTTAACTGAAACTAAAAAGTCATACAATACCTGTCATTCGATGGAACTAAGAATCTTCTACTTACATGGTGAAGACTTCACTTCAGTTTGTGTTTTGACAGAATATCATCCCCAAAACTCAGACAGCTAAAATTATAAGAGACAATTAGGAAACTTCCAACGGCAAGGTAGTATTGTCTACTCCGTGATAGATGTATAAGAAAACATTAACGATTAAGAACAAATTGATATAATCTTGCAAAGCAAAGCGGTAGCGATACAGTAGTATTTGATATTTAGTTGTCATGAAATTTGGAGCACAGAATATGCACCTGTCACATGAACTCCAGCAGCAAGGTCAAGTATGCAAAAGTACTCTGCTAAAACCTACAACACAACTTAGAAAAAGCCATTCTGAACAGAACACATGGTAAGAAACATAATTATCATTTTTCTCACCCCTTTCTTTCAAATTTAGAAACTTAATTAGGTCTATCCAACATTATTTTCAGAAAATTGTCTTCTGCTTTACCGATCTAAAACCCAGAAAGAAAATTCAACTATGAGGAAACCAAAATACTAGAACACCATGCCTGTCCACTGTAATTTTTGCTTTCAAAATACAATACAGATACAATACTAGATAAAATACTGTATAAAAAGTTTCTGAACATTGCAGAAATATCCTGAAATTAAAAATCTTCTACAAAAGATATACCGCAACCTGTGCAAAAGAAACTAAAAAATCACTACAGAAACCGTAAAAACATTTTTCCCCTTAAACAATTTAATGCAACTAATAGAAGCAACTGTGAACCAAATCACTCATTAAAATTACCATCATCTAGATGCAAAAGGATTCGCGGGTGCCTTTGCATGCAAATATCCAAATCCCACTCAAAGAAATTTATTGGAATTTAAACCAAATGAACAAGCTTTAAAATTAATATACATCAAATTAAAACAAAAAGAAAAACCGAAGCCAGAGCTTAAAAACTCTAACCACTAATTACACAAGAATGGAACAACATCTTCTAAAAAATTACATAGCCGTTTCAAAAAATAAAAAATACCAACATAACTCATGCTTTTGTGGAAATATACAGTATGTGGATTTAAAATTCAAATATAAGCCAACAATTACAGTAAAATTTAAAATTCAAATTTAACATTCCAACTGACTCCCTTGTGGAGCTATACCCAAAATGCCCTCATATTTTTGCACTAAAATTCAAAAATAAATCCGAAAAATTAAATAATAAAAGAAAATATCCAACGGCTCTTTAGAACCGACCAAAGTAGTATTGTATATGCAAAGTCTGTCTCTGTCCCGTCATTCTCTTATTTCCAATTTCGCTCCAAACTCTTAATTTCTCTTAATCTCTCCAACATTTTCTCTGACCTTTTTGCTAATTGACTTCATATAATCATCTGCAATAATCACAGATTCACGATGTCGGCAACTCTTCCTGCTGGCTATAAATTCGTTCCTTGATGCTGAACTGATGGGTTTTATCTCTACAACAAGGTACAAAATTTACCTTTTTCCCGTGATACCATCCCAGATGTGACCTCTATGGTAGACAAGAACCCTGGCAAATTAGGGAAATGTATGAAGGACCCAAATTGGCAATCAAGATCTCTACTTTTCACTCTATTGAAGAAAAAATCAACAAGGGCTCAAGGATTTGCAGAGGAGTGGGTTCTGGAACATGGGCAGGTGAAGATGGGGCAAAGAAATTAAATTTGAAAAAACCCACTTGAAAATTGGGTTAAAGAAGCGGTTAGATACGGAGTAAAGGTTCGGAACACAATGGGGATACGAGAGGAAACGTTCGGAACACATGGGGTTGGATAATGCATGAGATTTATTGTGAGGGCATGATGAATTGTTGTGTGTGTAGAATTCGGAAGAACGAACATGATGAAAAAGGGGTTGTGAAGAAAAGGAAGAGAAAGTCCACTAGAGCTTATCTAGAGAAAGAAGAGCTTGGTATTGTAAATTGGCTTATATTTTGCAGATATGTATAGGATTTTTGTTTCAGATTCAACAGTTAAAAAATTAATAAATAATGTTATATATAATAAATGTCGTTGTCGTCACGTGACACATTTTAGAAGCTCTAAAATTACCCATTTTGACACATTAGATTGACAAATCAATTAAATTATTTATCTTGAACATGGGGGTGATATTTATGTTTCATCTGATTATAATTAATTAAAAAATGTTATCTGTAATAATAATAATACAGGTGTATGATTATCATTCTAAAGGTCTAACATAATGACATTGAATTTATGATTGTCATGTGGTTGAATTTTAACAGTGATAATGTAGATAATATTGATTGTTGTATGGTATTTCAAGTCTAAAATAATAGACATAAGATTGGATTACTAAGTGTATTGCATTACATTAGTTGTATTAATAATTAATAATAATACTAAATATAGGTGTATTGCATTGACATTCTAAATGTCAACAATAATGACACATTGAATTTGTGATTGCCATGTGATTGAATTTATTGGTGATGATGTAGATATATTAATTGTTGCATTAATTCCAAGTCTAAATAAATAACATAAAGATTGGATTACATAGGTGCATTGCATTGATAGTAAAAACATATATTATAATATAATGTGCATTGTATTAATATTGCAAACCTTTTCTTCGTATTCAATTGTATTATTGTGTTGACATTCGAAATGCCTAAATAAGATGTTATAAAATATATAAGCGTATATTCGTTGTGATATCGTAAATGTTAGTGGGATCAACAATACGTCTAGTCTTTTGTTAATTGTTTTAGGTCATGTTAGTTTGTGATAATACGATTGTCTCATGATTTTGTTAATCGATAATTTTTATTTATTGTTTTTGTTGTTATTTACAGGCAAAGATTCATGAATTGATGGAATAAGGAGGATGCTAATTGACATTGTCAAATGAGTTGTTATTTGATTCGTTCTTCAAACTATAAGTATATCTTCTAACTTTTTAATATAAGGTTGTAAGTATATCTCATAACTATTTTAACAGTTATTATTTGATTGAATGATTGTTTTTGTTTAGTCAATTATTGAAGATTAATTGTGTTACTCAGTAAACAGTAAGTGTATTCCTAACAATTTAATATGAAGATTAATTAACTTTGTTAATTTCGTTTTCAAGTAACAGTAGTTAGGGGTGTTTAAAAGAAACGGTTGGAACCGGAACCGGCGGGTACCCTGTGGGTTCTGGTTCCTACCCAGAACCAATCGTCATGGGTAGGTTCCGGTTCCAAATTTTTGGAACCGTACTGTGCGGTTCCGGTTCCTATAACGGTTCCTGGTTCCTGGTTCGGTTCCCGTTCCTATAGGAACCGGAACAGGAACCGAGACTAATATAATATAAAATTAAATATTAGGGGGGTTAATAAAAACTTTTGTAGAAAAAGTAATGTAAATACATTATATTTTATTTATATTTCATAACATTTAAAGTAAGTTGGTTTGACTTTTGAGAATCTACCTTTACAAAGTAATGGGTTTGTAATTTTAATTTTAATTTGTAATTTTATTTTGTTAACAAGTGCCAAGTGGGGGGGGGGGGGGGGGGGGGGGGGGGGGAGGTATTTGTAAGTTTAAGGGTTTTTTTTGCCATTGAACTTTATGGAGACCCATACTTTTTTATATCAGCCAGAGTAGTCAATTCACCCTGTAAATCACCCAAACTCCACGAGTTATAAAATTAAACAAAAAAATAAGTATAAAAAAGTGAAGAAAATAGATAAACTTAAATAAAAATAAAACACCTCATCTATAAACTTATCAATGTCTCACTTAAAAGGAGAGAGATCCATAGCTCTAATATTTGTCTTTCAGTCCAATGACTCTGCTCAAAACAAAGAAAATTAGAAGTTTTATGTCTTCAAAAAAAAAAAAAAAAAAAAGGGTGTTATACTCAAAATAAAATTACTGGTTTAACAAAATATTGCAGTTTAATGAAAAATTTGCATACAACACTACAACCGCTACAGTGTTCTAAGAAAAATTAGCAATCATATTTTGAACTTCTAGTAGTTTAGCACAACATCAAAACCCTGATTCAGTGTGATTAACTATAACATGTAATAACGTTGCAGGGGAGAAACTTGCCACATTCAGTAACAAGTACTCCCTCTTCTTTTCTTGCCTATTCTGCCTTCATCCTATCCATTCAAAATTCCCAATAAACCATGAGTGAGAGAAATTTGGAATACAGAAAATTGTAAAGACTACAGAAATTGACAGCATATTTAAACAGAAGAAGAGAAAGGAGAGAGAGAGAGAGTTTGGTCAAGAGAAAAGGGACAAAAGATTATATATGTATTTTTTTGACTTTAATAGGTATGAGTGGTTTAGTGCATATAGCTGACAATAAGATTAATTCCACTTCCAAATAATTAAGTAGAGCAATCTAAAAGAAATGCTTACCACTATGTTCCCAGGTATTTGCATTTTATGAAAATAAGAATAAAGATCATAAGATTGACAATTGGTTGTACATTTGCGCTCCACAGTCAATACAGTTACAGAACTTGTGCAAATCTCCCGAAATTGATTCTAGATACTGCAGAGGAAGCTAGCCAACCTGAAAAGAGACTGCAGTATCTTGAGTATTGTAGCAACCTCCAAATCATTGGTACTCCCCGAATAACAAGAGAATCTTGACAAACAAGCCAATTCAAAACCCTCCATGTTATAAAGAAACCCAGAAATGATCTGATGTAGTAGCAGTAGAAGAACCACAGAAAGACATTTTTCAAAATGGCATGAGCAGGCTAAAGTCACGAAGCCAGGAAATCCAGCAGCAACCACCAGCAACGAGATTAGAAACAGACTGGATAATAGGAGCATATGAAGAATGAATCATATTATAGAGGCTTCAATTAAACTGTAAGAAGAAGCAATTTCCAAATGATAATGATGTTAAATCAGTCAAACACCAATTATCAGATTTTAACGGATACATTAGAACCTGCAGTATCCACAAAATAGGATCTCTACACATGAGTCAACTGCAGATTCCAAATTGCAAGAAGCAGGGAAGTATATATACACAAGAAACACAAGGACACAAGCGCAAACGCCCTGAAGACAATAATTAAAAATAATTAGCAATAAGCCAAGAAGGAAACTATCTTCCCATTTACTAAACAATCTAGAATAACATATACACTGGCGGAGAATTTTGTTTGGGTGAATTAGTCCTGTTATTACAAGAAGATAGACAATCAAAGAGACAGCTATTAGAATCAATCGTGAATTAGTCCTGTTATTACAAGAAGATAGACAATCAAAGAGACAGCTATTAGAATCAATCATCACGAAACTCTGCTCTTAAAAATTGCAAGACAGGTAATATCTATTTAGAATACTGAAATACCATATTAATATGACCATTACGAGGTTTTAAGTTAAATAAAACATAAATTTGGTAAGTCAACATAAATATTCTTTCTTGATGTTTGAAAGGCTGCATAATTCAGTACTTGCAGATTAATCAGGCTTGTGTATAAAGAACCATAAACAACAAAGAATCTTTTAGAACCATTTCAAATTAACATTCAATAAATATCAAACATGACATAACATATTGTTCCAAGAAAATTTTTGTAATCAGCTGCAACCAAGGTTGACCAACCTGACAAATCCTATGAATTAAGTTCTCACACAAAGCTTCTCCAGTCACAATATTAAATTACAATCTACCTTAATCATGACAAAGGAAGAACTCATACCATTTTTCTATGAAAAGTTCTGCACAGCAAACTTCAGCTTTTGAAACAAAAGCCAAGTTAGTAAGTGATATAGAGCTCTCCATCTCTTATGGCAGCACTTTCATAGCTTCATATGTATTGTTTCTTTTTTTCAAATGTGGAGGATGCTGAGTGGTGAATGTAATTGTTAGGTCCATAGCATATCCATTTTGTATATCTGCTTAAAGCAACAGTTGACTTTGTACAAATAGGAATTGGCAACAAATGAAAAATAATGGTCCATCAAAATCCTGTCTTTAGAGTAATGACAGTCAAATATATAATCCAAATTATGCATTCTAATGATGACACTCGCTAGTAGGTGAGCAATCAATAAACCAGAGATTCCCTGCACCATGTAACAAGATTCATTGCTAACACAAATACACCATATCCACACCCTTACTGTCTCAGTCTGCAACTCAGCTCCCACTAGCTCAATCAAAATATTTTCAGTCAAGAATGTTCTTCCAAGTTCTAACTAGCCACCATATACCAAGCACACAAACATATGTGGGTAAATGATCATTTTTAAAATTACAATTTTTAAATAGATTTCAGAGATCCTTTCTGAAAATTTACATAATACAGTGCCCAATGTTTAAAGATGAGGAATATTACATTTTACTAAAAATTATTGCGCCTAGCTAATAATCATGTTGAAACAATCGAAAAATCATCAGCAAGCATAGAAGAGGTAATATAACTTATCACATAATTATAGCTTCAGGATTTACGTTTTTAGCAGATTATATTGGTTCATACATCTTTAACTGAAACTAAAAAGTCATACATACCTGCTCATTCTGATTGGAACTAAGAATCTTCTACTTACATGGTGAAGACTTCACTTCAGTTGGTGTTTCTTGACAGAATTATCATCCCACAAACTCAGACAGCTAAAATTATCAAGAGACAATTAGGAAACTTCCAACGGCAAGGTAGTATTGTCTACTCCGTGATAGATAGTATAAGAAAACATTAACGATTAAGAACAAATTGATATAATCTTGCAAAGCAAAGCGGTAGCGATACAGTAGTATCTTGATATTTAGTTGTCATGAAAATTTGGAGCACAGAATATGCACCTGTCACATGAACTCCAGCAGCAAGGTCAAAGTATGCAAAAGTACTCTGCTAAAACCTACAACACAACTTAGAAAAAGCCATTCTGCAACAGAACACATGGTAAGAAACATAATTATCATTTTTCTCACCCTCTTCTTTCAAATTTAGAAACTTAATTAGAGTCTATCCAACATTATTTTCAGAAAATTGTCTTCTGCTTTACCTACCTAAAACCCAGAAAAAGAAAATTCAATCTATGAGGAAACCAAAATACTAGAACACCATGCCTCTCCACTATAATTTTTGCTTTCAAAATACAATACCAGATACAATACTAGATAAAATACTTGTATAAAAAGTTTCTGAACATTGCAGAAATATCCTGAAATTAAAAATCTTCTACAAAAGATATACCGCATACCTGTGCAAAAGAAACTAAATTAATCACTACAGAAACCGTAAAAACATTTTTCCCCTTAAACAATTTAATGCAACTAATAGAAGCAACTGTGAACCAAATCACTCATTTAAATTACCATCATTCTAGATGCAAAAGGATTCGCTGTTGCCTTTGCCTGCAAATACAATGTAACAATATCCAAATCCCACTCAAAGAAATTTCATTAGAATTTAAACCAAATGAACAAGCTTTAAAATTAATAGCACATCAAATTAAAACAAAGAGAAAAACCGAAGCCCAGAGCTTAAAAATCTTCTAACCACTAATTACACAAGAATGGAACAACAATTCTTCTAAAAAAAATTTACATAGCCGTTTCAAAAAATAAAAATACCCAACATACCCTCATGTTTTTTGGGGTAAATTATACAGTATATGGATTTAAAATTCAAATATAACTGCCAACAATTACAGTAAAATTTAAAACTCAAATTTAATACCTTCCAACTATACCCAAAATGCCCTCATATTTTTGGCACTAAAATTCAAAAATAAATCCGAAAAATTAAATAAATAAAAAGAAAATTCATCCAACGGCTCTTTTAGTAACCGACCCAAAGTAGTATTGTATATAGCAACGTCTGTCTCTGTCCCGTCATTCTCTTATTTCCAATTTCGCTCCAATATCTTTCTCTTAATCTCTCCAACATTTTCTCTGACCTTTTTGCTAATTGCACTTCATTTACATCATCTGCAATAATCACAGATTCACGATGTCGGCAACTCTTCCTCCTGACTATAAATTCGTTCCTTCTGATGCTGAACTGATTGGGTTTTATCTCTACAACAAGGTACACAATTTACCTTTTTCCCGTGATACCATCCCAGAATGTGACCTCTATGGTAGACAAGAACCCTGGCAAATTTGGGAAATGTATGAAGGACCCAAATTGGCCAATCAAGATCTCTACTTTTTCACTCTATTGAAGAAAAAATCCAACAAGGGCTCAAGGATTTGCAGAGGAGTGGGTTCTGGAACATGGCAGGGTGAAGATGGGGCAAAAGAAATTAAATTTGAAAAAACCCACTTGAAAATTGGGTTAAAGAAGCGGTTTAGATACGAGAGTAAAGGTTCGGAACACAATGGGGATACGAGAGTAAACGTTCGGAACACAATGGGGTTGGATAATGCATGAGTATTTATTGTGAGGGCATGATGAATTTGTTGTGTGTAGAATTCGGAAGAACGAACATGATGAAAAAGGGGTTGTGAAGAAAAGGAAGAGAAAGTCCACTAGAGCTTATCTAGAGAAAGAAGAGCTTTTGGTATTGTAATATTGGCTTATATTTTGCAGTTTATATGTATAGTTATTTTTGTTTCAGATTCATAACAGTTAAAAAATTAATAAATAATGTTATATATATATAATATGTCGTTAGTCGTCACGTGACACATTTTAGAAGCTCTAAAATTACGCCATTTTGACACATTAGATTGACAAATCAATTAAATTATTTTATCTTGACATGTTGGGGTGATATTTATTGTTTCATCTGTAATTATTAATTAATTAAAAAATGTTATCTGTAATAATAATAATAATACAGGTGTATGATATTATCATTCTAAAGGTCTAACTATAATGACACATTGAATTTATGATTGTCATGTGGTTGAATTTTAACAGTGATAATGTAGATAATATTGATTGTTGTATTGGTATTTCAAAGTCTAAATAAATAGACATAAAGATTGGATTACATAAGTGTATTGCATTACATTAGTTGTATTAATAATTAATAATAATACTAATTATATAGGTGTATTGCATTGACATTCTAAATGTCTAACAATAATGACACATTGAATTTGTGATTGCCATGTGATTGAATTTTATTGGTGATGATGTAGATAATATTAATTGTTGCATTAGTATTCCAAAGTCTAAATAAATAGACATAAAGATTGGATTACATAGGTGCATTGCATTGATAGTAAAAACATATATATTTATTAATAATTATATATGTGCATTGTATTAATATTGCAAACCTTTTCTTCGTATTCAATTCGTATTTAATTGTGTTGACATTCGAAATGCCTAAATAAGATGTTATAAAATATATAAGCGTATATTCAGTTGTGTATTATCGTAATATGTTAGTTGGTATCAACAATACGTCTAGTCTTTTGTTAATTGTTTATAGGTCATGTTAGTTTGTGTTAATAATACGTATGTTCTTCATGATTTTGTTAATCGATAATTTTTTATTTATTTATGTTTTTGTTGTTATTTACAGGTCAAAGATTCATGAATTGACATGGAATAAAGGAAGGATGTCTAATTGACATTGTCAAATGAGTTGTTATTTTGATTCGTTCTTCTAAACTATAAGTATATCTTCTAACTATTTTAATATAAGGTTGTAAGTATATCTCATAACTATTTTAACAGTTATTATTTGATTGAATGATTGTTTTTGTTTAGTCAATCTATTTGAATGATTAATTGTGTTACTCATGTCAAACAGTAAGTGTATTCCTTAACAATTTTAATATGAAGATTAATTAACTTTTGTTAATTTCGTTTTCAAGTAACAGTAGTTAGGGGTGTTTAAAAGAACCGGTTGGAACCGGAACCGGCGGGTACCCTGGGTTTGGTTCTGGTTCCTACCCAGAACCAATCGTCAATGGGTAGGTTCCGGTTCCAAATTTTTGGAACCGTTACTGTGCGGTTCCGGTTCCTATAACGGTTCCTGGTTCCTGGTTTCGGTTCCCGTTCCTATAGGAACCGGAACCAGGAACCGAGACTAATATAATATAAAATTAAATATTAGGGGGGTTAATAAAAACTTTTGTAGAAAAAGTAATGTAAATACATTTATATTTATATTTATATTTCATAACATTTAAAGTAAGTTGGTTTGACTTTTGAGAATCTACCTTTACAAAGTAATGGAGTTTGTAATTTTTAATTTTTAATTTGTAATTTTATTTTTGTAACACGTGCCAAGTGGGGGGGGGGGGGGGGGGGGGGGGGGGGGTGGGGGGGGGGGGGGGGGGGGGGGTGGGGTGGGGGGGGGGGGGGGGGTGGGGGGGGGGGGGGGGGGTATTTGTAAGTTTTAAGGGTTTTTTTGCCATTTTAAAAACTTTTGGGGGGTCATGTAATTTTACAGGGTAACTAAACCAGAACCAGAACCATTGTATAGGTTCTGGTTTGGTACCTAGGAACTGGAACCTCGGTTCGGTTCTGGTTCCAAATTTCAAGGAACTGTCAGTTTCGGTTCCTTCAAAAGTGCAGGGTACCCGAAACCGAACACCCCTAACAGTAGTTATACGAATAAATAATTGTTCCTTGACAATCTTAATATAAAGATCGATTAAATTTTTTTTTTTATGTTTGTTTTCAAGGAACTGTTCTGTACTTACTAAGATCAAATCGAGGATGATTCTATTGTTAGCTGAACTGTGAGTATGTGTTATATTTATATTTGTAGAAACAGTTCATTTGAGTTTGAATATGTTTTCTGTAAAAAAATTCGTGTATTTTAATTTGTTAAATGAATGATTAATTGTTCATGTCCTGCTGATGTGCAAGTATATATGTTAAATGAATTAATTTTGGCTGATTCCATTTTCCAATTATAAGTGTTATTTGAAATATTTCTTATCAGTCCTAATATGACAATTCCTTAAATTTGGGTCAAGTAAACCATTCATTTTATCATCACATGCATTTCGGTTTCTACTGAACAATCAGTAATAAATTGATCATAACTTGCTTAATAAAAATCCAATTGATGGGAGGATTAAATCTTTAGAAACTAAACAGACAATGCTTTAATTTGATATATTATACACTTAATTTGGATAACTTGATGAGTGGTGAAAGGATATGTATATTCCGTGATTTTATAGGTAGATCATAGGGAATTCGTGACTTTTATGGATTATTTTTATTCAAGTTCTTTGCATATTTTTATTTGCAAGAATCACGGGTATGTGTATAAGTTTCAGGTATTCAGACAGAAAAAGTGAGGAATTTATGCTCACACGATGGTTGGAGGCTTTGTACGCGCTAAAGAAAAAAAAATGGATTGTCAAACAGAAGAAAGGAAGTGAATTTGCTGGATGGCGCCGCGGTATAGACTTTTCGCACCGCGGCATGAGAAGCTGAAGTTGGGTAGAAAGTTCATGCCACGGCGTGAAGAAAGTGGCGCTGCGCCGTGACAAGGTCGTATGTTTGTGGAAAAATTGTGCGCCGCGGCATGGATCGCGAGAAAATAATTTTTTTTTTTTTTTTTTAACTCTGGCTTGAACTTGGACTCTTCCAAAAACACCCATAGCAGAGGAAAAGTATAAATAAGACTTTGTAATTTAGTTTAGAGTGGGCTGGAGATTGAGAGGAGAGTTATTTTCTTAGCAAAAAGAGAGGAGATTTTTCCTAGGGTTTTGAAGATCATTCATGCTTTTGGGGAATTTCAGGTTTGCTTTTTTCAATGTCAATGTGTAACTAAACTCTTCTCTAGGGATCCAATGTAGCCTAATTTGATGGCTCTACGTGTAATCATATATTTATTGTTATTAATTCAATGAAACTCTAGATTCATTCAAGTATTTATTACTCCTTTAATTTTCATTATTGTGTGATGACACTTAGTGCAAATTACTAGGTTGTATGTGTGAAGATTATTGAATGAATGATTAATATTCTATGTATACGCCCTGATAGAGTATTAGTTGGTTCATGATTTCTTGGGTAATTAGTGTTTGTGCACACGCCATGACAAATACGCCTTTGTTCAGGATTTCGAGTACTCTTACATTTATTGGGTTTTTAATTCATAGGCTAGACTAGACGCCCTAGCTAGTCTTGTGTTAAAAATACTAGGTTAATCCCGAAAGCCTTGCGGTAATGCATTGATTTGGTGAGTGCGAACCCTAGAAAGTGAATTGATAAATAATAGATATTTGGTTGGCATAGAGTTGGATAATTATGGTGAAATTGGAACCCTAGGTTTTGGTCGATTGGATTTAAGATAACTTTATTGTCGTTTAACTTTAGTTTGATTAGTTGTTGCTTTTGAAGTGATTCCTCCTGAATTGTGATTATCAATTCTAGTTAATAGTTTAAATTGACGTTCGTTATTAGGATTAGTAAATTGCTTACAAATCTTTGTAGGACCGACCTTTGCTTTTGCACACTATACTACAATAGCAATTCTTGCACTTACAAGGAATTAGAATTTGTTCATCATAACTGTAGCCCCACTGCCAAACCATTCATTTCATTATCACATACATTTCAGCTTCCACTGAAGAGTCAGTAGTAAATTGACCATAACTTGCTCAATAAAACTCTAATTGATTAGGGGTTTTCATCTTTAGAAACTAGACAGACAAGGCTTTAAATTGATATATTATTTGGATAAATGTAGCCCTATTTTTGAACCATTCTTTTTATCATCACACACATTTTGGTTTCTTCTGTTTCTTGATTTTCACTGAATAGTCAGTAGTAAATTGGTCATGACTTGCTCAATAAAACTCCAATTGATGAATGGTTTAAATCTTTGAAAATTAGACAGATAGGGATTTAATTTGATATATTATATGCTTAATTTGGATAACTGTAGCTCCACTTCCAAACCATTCCTTTTATCATCACATACATTTTGGTTTCCACTGAATAGTTAGTAGTAAATTGACCATAACTTGCCCAATAAAACTCCCATTGATGCGAGGTTTGAATATTTAAAAACTAGATAGACAAGACTTTAATTTGATATATTATATACTTAATTTGAATAACTTTATCCCCACGTCCAAACCATTCCTTTTATCATCACACACATTTCAGTTTCCACTAAACAATCAGTATTAAATTGATCATAACTTACTCAATAAATCTCCAATTGATGAGAGGTTTGAATCTTTAGAAACTAGATAGACAGGGCTTTAATTTTTTATATTATATGCTTAATTTTTATAATTATAGCCCCACTTCTAAACCATTCCTTTTATCATCACACATATTTCAGTTTCCCTTGTTTCTCAATTTCCACTGAACAATCAGTAGTAAATTGGCCATAACTTATACAATAAAAATTCAATTGATGAGCGGTTTAAATTTTTGGAAACTAGAAAGATAGAGATTTAATTTAATATATTATATGATGAATTTGGATAACTATA